TATATATGTATATAAATATATATATACATACAGAAGTTCTCAGCTGTAGGCGAATGTGTTACGCAAAAGTCCGACTCTCTAAGCAATTACCAGGAGTTACCCGGAAAGCCGACACCACCGGAAGAATATATGCGCCCGTGATCGCCAGCTTCCCTTTACTTGGCCACTTGACTCTGACTTCATCGATGTGCGCTGAGGTCTTCGGTAGATAAAGCTGGTCTTCTATACAGGAGTACATAATATATATATATATTAGAGTGGCAATATCAGTACGATCGCACCAGGGTATAGTCGCTGTGCGTATATACATATATATATATCTATAGTTTATATTATATATATATATATATATATATAGCCTCGCGATCAGAGTACGCTTGGAGTTAGCATTTGGACATGCGTTTTTGAATAACTTTTATGGTTTTGAGTGAAGTTTGCCCTATCCGTCTATCATACACAAGCACTTCCAACTGTTTTACTACAGATACACAGGGACAGTGATAATAGCGGAAACCAGTACGAGCCTTTTCCAAAAGCCCATTTCTCATAGAGAAACAAGGTTTTGCGCTTCAGTAAATTATACACAGTCACATCATGTCTAACGGGCACTTAATATACACATCCGAAGCAAGCACCACATGACACATCCCTATGAATATGCAATTGTAACCATGGCAACACTATACCTACCACCAACACCCGCACATACCCTGCTGTTGATATGACAGCCGTTCCGGCAGTGTGCTCTCCCCCCCCAACAACACAGACACATCGTACGAGTTCTTGGTGTGGCTGCCCGCGTTCTCCTTCATGGGAATGCCACAGATCAGCATCAGGTGCACGCTGTAGTGCAGCCGCACAAGCCGTGGCATGAACACCTGCGCATGGTTACACGGCACTGTGTAGGCACTTTATAGGGAGTTGGGTTGTGGGAGTGAGTGGTTCATAGGTTATATGTGATGGTAGCTAGGTTCTGGGGCCCGGCGAGAGAGTGAGAGGGAGTGAGTTATGGCTATAGGATTTGTGTGCTACATACACAGATTTATTCATCGCAACGCCTGGGTGTAGTAAGTGCGTCTTGCATGTTTAGACGGTACTTGAGTGGTTGTGAGTTTACTGCTGACGTAGATCTGCCCTGTATACAGCAGGCGCCGTCAACCGACTCTGCGCTAATAGACTTGTGCACCCATTTGTGTGTAGAGTACGTTCCCTGTGTATAGTACTGGGGGGGGCGGGGGGGTCACCTACACTTCGGTGAGGACTCCCTAGTCGACGCCTAGAGCTCTCTATAGTGCACGGAACTTTGACCTGTGGAGTTGTACATGCATCACTATACCCCCTGCCAACAAGCACAGTCCTCACTCACCCACCAGGCACCCTTTGATACTATACAGCCCTGCGATACACTATATGGGGGTGCACTAAATAGACGTGTGCAGACGCTTATGAACGTTAATTGAGCACTCACACAGAGAGATGCGAGTACAACACACATTCATACAAAAGTTTGTCGCCACATGCCAGCCATTACATTACAAAAGTATGAAGCAAGGGATCCACGAACAGTGTGCATAAACCAACAGTTGTGAATAAACCAGAATGCTACATAAACCTATATCCCATGAACATACCAGGAAAAAGTCCTCAACCTAATGGCTGTAAAGATACCACAGGGCTACATAGGCTAAGTCATGCACATACCAAGAATAAAGTACCGAACTTAATCTCCGCACGCCCGAGAAGTACGACGGTTCCACCACCGAGCCTTCGTCAATGTCCATGGGCACTGTGGCTGTGCAATCGCTGTTGAGGGGAAGAGACTCCTGAGTGTAGTTCAACACGCACAGCTCAACACGGCGCATCAGGTCCAGCAACACACGGTCCGACTGAAAGGTCTCGTTGAGTATCTTGAGCAGCATCAGCCGCAGATCATCTGTACGGAAACCAAGGCATAGGGTGATTAGGGTTTTAGGGTTTTGAGGGTTGAGATTTAGGGTCAATGAGCAAGTACGCCTGTAATAGTAGTAAGCGGTGACTGAGGAGAAGTGGGTTCGTACGGCCCACTCTGAGGGGAAGATGCGACGCAGGCTTTACATAATACATCTGTCTGTTGAGAATAAGCTCTATATGCTATGCGAGTGTGGGCTCTACCGCCACCAAAAAAACCTAGCCCCATAGCATGATAAATACAGATGTACCACTACCGTAGGATAACACATCCTTCCGGGTACCAGACACACTATCCAAGACCTAAGAAATAGACGGACCCCGTACACACCCACCTGTAGGTACATCGGTGACCCCGTCTGAGACTTCAAAGTATCGGCTGTGGAGCACTCCTTCGTCTGCATTGGCCCGCGCTTCGGTGGGAGACGAACGCATGACGATGAGACGGATGTTTTCGTACTGCTGTTTGATTCGCTTTGGCTGCTTAGTGAAAGAAAGGGTGCGTGAAATTTAAAAAATATCAGACGACAAGCGATTATCATACTAGAATTGCGAAAGACAAAGATAAATATTTACACTATACATACATACATATATATATATATATATATATATATATATATGTGTGTGTGTGTGTGTGTGTATAGT